GGAAAGTGAAGGCTGGGAGCTTCTCTGTCTTCAGCCCATTGGCCCTCTCTCACCCCTCAATTTCTGATTGGTCCCCCTTCATTAACCGATTGGTCCCTTATTTTCTTTCTTAAATATGATTGGTTTCTTTCCCATAAGATGGGAGTTCAATTTATTTAACTAAACTTTAAATAACCAATTTCAAACGTATGTAACTATACCGTTATAATCCAGACTCGCGAACGGTTTCCGCCTATGCGCTCGTAGTGACAAGTACTACGAGGATACGCTAAAAAAATGAGTCCTACGTCTCTCTAACCGATGGTCAACGAAAGTCAAAGTTTTTCCTCTAGGGGCATTTTTCGTAAAATCACTATTTTAAATTTTATAAAATTGTAAAGGTAAGGACATGTTGTCACAATGCCCGCGCGATATTGCAAGATTAAAAAGAAACCGTAGGAAGATTTTGTATATAGTACTATTTACATACAAGGGAGAATACTTTATGTGTATTACATAAACGATTTAATACAATCATAAACTCGTAGGAAATCTACAAACAATCACATTGAGATACATAAGCTTAATATGTGCTTACCCCTATTTGACTTCGAACTCTCCTGCGTATTTTACAAAAATTACTGATTAAATTAAATAAAAAAATTCAACAAAATTCAATCACAAATTCCACCTAGATAATTATCAAAATCGGAAAAAGAGAAGAAAAAAAAGAGATTGAGAGGGTCAAAGGGCCAAAGGAAAGAATTGGGATACGAGTCAAATACTAATAAATAAATAATTTCTCTAAACCAAACTGAGAGTAAATAGAAATCTAAACTTAAAACAATCACAACTTCAACACAACTAAAGTCTAGGGAACAAAATCTGATACTCAAGGGAAAAGGATCCTAGCCGGATTGTTTTTTCTGGGGATTTGGGAGATCCCGTGATCGTGTCTGTTCATCATACATCGTGTGATCAGAACGGACACGATCACGGGATTCTCTGAATCCTCATAAAAATGATCCAGCGAACTCAGAGTACACAACTCATCTCTCTACGTGTAAAACACTTGAAAAATTAAATGCAAATTATTGAAATGGAATACTGAAGTAGTTGTGCTAATTTTTCTTTGGGTAAAAGACTGTTTACTACCCTCATGTTTCGTGGTTTTCAACATTTAGTACATCAAGTTTTTTTCGTCTTAGATTCATACCTAAAGTGTAAATTTTGGGACAGTCTCATACATCCATTAGTCAAACTGTTAAATCTGCCGTTAATTGTGACGTGGCGCCCATGTGGACAATGACTGGGCACCACGTGTCAGCCACGTTTTTTTTTCTTTTTTTTTTCTTCTTTCTTCTTTCTTCTTTCTTCTTCATTCTTCTTCTTCTTCTTCTTCTTCCTCCAATTGCAACTTTTTTTGTTCTTCCTCCTTCTCCTTCTTCTTCTTCTTCTTCTTCTTCCTCGAATCTGGGGAAGTTTTTTTTTTTCTTCTTCCTCCTTCTTCCTTCTCCTTCCTCCTTCTTCTTCTTTTTCTTCTTCTTCTTCCGAATCTGCCCAGATTCGGTTTTTTTCTTTTCTTTTTTCTTCTTTTTTCTTCTTCCTCTGACTAAAAGTTTTTTTTTTCTCTTCTTCCTTCTTCTTCTGAATCTGGGGAAGATGAATTTTTTTTTCTTCTTTCTTCTTCTTCCTCCTTCTTCCTCTCCTTCTTCCTTCCTTCTTCTCCCCCTTCTTCTCCTTCTTCCTTCTTCTTCATCTTCCTCACCAAAAAAAAAAAAAAAACCTTCATCTTGCCCAGATTCGGAGGAAGAAGAAGGAAGAAGGAGAAGAAGAGGAAGGAAGAAGAAGAAGAAGGAGGAAGAAAAAAAAAACTGAATCTGGGCAGATTTGGAGGAAGAAGAAGAAGAGGAGGAAGGAAGAAGGAAGAAGAAAGAAGGAAGAATAAGGGAGGAGAAGGAGGAGGAAGGAGGAAGAAGAAGGAGGAAGAAAAAAAAAGTTGCAGTCAAATGGAAGAAGAAGAAGGAAGAAGGAAGAAGAAAGAAGAAAGAAGAAAGAAAAAAAAACGTGGCTGATACGTGGCGCCCAGTCCTTGTCCACATGGGCACCACATCACAATTAACGGCAGATTTAACAGTTTGACTAACGGATGTATGAGACTGTCCCAAAATTTACACTTTATGTATGAATCTGAGACGAAAAAAACTTGATGTACTAAATGTTGAAAACCACAAAACATGAGGGTAGTAAACAGTCTTTTACCCTTTTTCTTTTTATCCAAAGATCCATCTCCACTTGCTCTAAACATAAAGGACAACAACAATTGTCATCTCCACTTTTCGTGCATTCAAAACATCACAACAATGACAATATAAGGGAAAATACATGTGCATCAAGTCACAAAAATTTCCATAAATTTGTCCCAAATGATGACACTGAGTGACACAATAGCATGTGGAATGAAATTATTAAATCCCAACAGAAAACCTTTCAAAGCATTTTTGTGAAATCAAACTCCAACCACCATTTGATTAGTTCAACACAGAATCATTATGAAGACTCTGAGCACAAGGATCAAATGATCCAAATTGTTGAAATTTGATCCAACGGTTACAAACAAGGGACCTCTCTAAAAATTATAATAATTGTAGCCGGTGAAACAAATTTCAACAATCCGGATCAAATGATCATTAAGCTCAGATTATTAGGATCCGGAGAGGATCCAATTCCACTATATAATACCCACATACATACCCATCCGACTTTTTCTTAACTTGATGAATTTCTTATCTATGTTTCCTTGTTGATTATATTTCTCTATCAATAGAAAAATGAAAACAAATAAACAGTTGGGGCTTCAGAAACTTAACATATATTACCATAACTCAACCATAAATAATTTAGTTTACTTTTAATAAGGAAATCATAAAGCAAAACGGAAAATCGAAAAGGTTCATATACTGGAGAGATGAGAGATTTTTCAATGTGACCGTCACAAGGAATAGTACATCACATGTTGTTATATAAATTGTGGAATATGTGTGTTAAAAAGTTAATAACTTAAAAAATAAAATTTCTCACCACTTACATAAAAACACGTGATGTATCACCCGTGTTTCCGTCACAACTAAAAATTTCTCCTCAAAAAGAATGATGGCACTACTTTCCAGAAGTTACATAAATTTTGCTGAATAGTAAATAGTAAACCACACAATTAGAAAAATTAAATGCTTCTTTTTTTTCTAAAATTAGGAGAATGGGCAAGGAGTCATTATTTAAAAGAAAAAATAATGAAAATGATTTGAAAATTTTGAGTTTTAACGATAATAACAAAATAAAAAGTAAAATAAATAGTACCAAAATTAATTTTTTAATATAAAAATTTAATTTTTCGTTAACGGTTTAAGAAGCAAATGCAATTGGTGATGTTTTGGTTTTCTCGTTTAGCAGTTTGACGGTGAACCGCACTCGGGGGAGAACAGCGAGAGGGAAAAGAGAAAAGCGAGAATAAGAAAAAATAAAAAAATAATATAATGTATATATATTATCTCAGGCAATGGCAGAAACGCAATAATAAAAAAGAGTAAACTGTCATTTAACCCCCTGAACTATCACGTGAGTTTCAATTTCCTCCCTGAACTATTTTTTCAGCCAATTGACCCCCTAAACTATGTTAAAGTGGCCAATTAACCCCCTACCGTTAAGTATCTTTAACTCCATCAAATTTTCTATTAGAAAGTGTCATGTGCTTGGCACATGACCACCTTTTTACATTTTATGTCTAAATCTTTACAAAGAAAACATATAAAACAAATATTAAAACAAAAAACATACAAACCCTAAACTTAATCATTCAAAATAATAGAAAAGGTAAGACTTTTTATATTAACACCCCATAAAATGTTGAATGCACCCCATATTAAAATTTAATATTAAATGACTTATTTATGTAATGACAATTTTGACCTTATTAGGTTTAAAAAAAATTATAAATACACCCCAAATCTCTTTTAGCGTATTATTTATCTTCTCAACTATCAAAACCCTCTCATCCTACATTGTTGAACAAAACTCTAACCAATGAAATTACAAACATGTTGATTGAGAAAAATTGTTTTTGACGAATGAAACACGAAATCGATGTTTTTGAAGCTTCACATGAGGTAAGACTTCACATTTTTCATTGTTTTAGTGATTTCGATGACATCGATAATTATTTAATCTTGCGTTTGCTGCATTATTTAAACTTATATATTCATATTCATATTCATATTCATCTTTTAGGGTTCATATTGAAAAATAATGCAGCAAATGCAAGATTAAATAATTATCGATGTCATCGAAATCACTAAAACAATGAAAAATGTGAAGTCTTATCTCATGTGAAGCTTCAGAAACATCGATTTCGTGTTTCATTCGTCAAAAACAATTTTTCTCAATCAACATATTTGTAGTTTCATTGGTTAGAATTTTGTTCAACAATGGAGGATGAGAGGGTTTTGATAGTTAAGAAGATAAATAATACGCTAAAAGTGATTTAGGATGTATTTATAATTTTTTTTAAATCTAATAAGGTCAAAATTGTCATTGCATAGTGGAGTAAATAAGTCATTTAATATTAAATTTTAATATGTGGTGCATTCAACATTTTGTGGGGTGTTAATATAAAAAGCCTTACTTTTTCTATTATTTTAAATGATTAAGTTTAGGGTTTGTAAGTTTTTTTTTTTAATATTTGTTATATATGTTTTCTTTGTAAAGATTTAGACATAAAATGTAAAAAGGTGGTCATGTGCCAAGCACATGACACTTTCTAACAGAAAATTGGATGGAGTTAAAGATACTTAACGGTAGGGGGTTAATTGGCCACTTTAACATAGTTTAAGGGGTCAATTGGCTAAAAAAATAGTTCAAGGGAAAATTGAAACTCACGTGATAGTTCAGGGGGTTAAATGACAGTTTACTCTAATAAAAAATAAACAGGGGCAAAATAGTCAGTTAGGAACAGTGTTTTAGTTTTAGTATCGATTAAATTTTTGGTTTTCGGAGTGTTTACCGCGCGCCTCCATCATCCTCTTCGCCACCTATCTAGGGTTTTCAGACCCCTTTCTGGGATTTTCCTTGGGATTTCCGAGCTCGTCAAAATGACCTTCCGATTCATCGACGTCGGAGCCTCTTCTCCTTCCTCTTCTTTTTCTTCTAGGGCTCCGAACTGCAACCAACTCTCCTGCTTCTTCAGTTCTGTGCCATCCAAAGCCCCATACCTTCATCGTCCTTCCAACACTTCTTCTTTGTCACTCTCTCGGAGCCGCATGGACTGCTCTCTAAGAGCCGCCATCGAAGATACCAATGGTACATGCCACGGCAAAGTCGAAATCGGGCATTCGATTTTGACGGCTTTGTCGCCGTTGGACGGCCGTTATTGGGGTAAAGTCAAGGAATTGGCTCCTTTTATGAGCGAATATGCCCTAATCTACTACAGAGTTTTCGTTGAGGTACTTCGTTTAATTTGCTACCGAGTTTTCGTAATTTTTTGTTGCGTTTTCTTTATTTGAATTTTGAATTTGATGAAGGTGTTATTGTTTTTCTTAATTTCAGATAAAATGGCTGTTGAAACTTTCACAAATCCCTGAGGTCACAGAGGTGCCCAGTTTCAGTGGAGATGCTCAATCTTACTTGCAAGGAATCATCGATGGATTTAGCGTCGATGATGCAGCGGAAATAAAGAAGATTGAGAAAATTACTAATCATGATGTGAAAGCAGTGGAGTATTTTTTGAAACAGAAATGCAGTTCGCATCCAGAGATAGCTAAGGTGAATCCCTTTATCGAGTCATTTAAATTCCGAAACAAGCTTGAAGCTGCTCCTTTATATTTGATACCGTCCCGTTGATAGCTTCGTTTCATATGTTTGAGAATTGTGTAATGTTTTGTTATTGTAGGTGCTTGAGTTTTTCCATTTTGCTTGCACATCTGAGGACATCAACAATCTTGCTCATGCGTTGATGTTGAAAGATGCTATCAACAATGTTATGTTTCCCGTCATGGATGAGTTGGTTGAGGCAATTTGTGACATGTCAAAGGATAACGCGTCCGTTCCCATGCTTTCTCGCACGCACGGTCAGACTGCCTCACCCACCACTTTGGGGAAGGAAATGGCAATTTTCGCTGTCAGGTTAAGCATACAAAGGCGCAGAATTTCTCAGGTTGAAATCATGGGGAAGTTTGCTGGTGCAGTAGGAAATTACAATGCTCATCTTGTTGCATATCCTGATGTTGATTGGCCTCAGATTGCTGAAGAGTTTGTAACATCTCTTGGAGTGAGTTTTAATCCTTACGTTACTCAGATTGAGACTCATGACGAGGAGGAGGCGAAGACGCTTGAGAGCTCTCCAATTCCATGTCTCTGAATTGCTTGGTAAAGACAACAAAATGCAAATATTAATGTTACTAAAAAAAGAATGATCGGTGGGGAGCCTTACTAGCTCTTTTTTTTTTTCCTTCGTCTTTTCTCTTGGAGAAGATGGGTGGGGACTAAGCAGTAAGGCTCCCCATTTTATAGCAGCAAGCCACACAAGCTTCCATCCTTTACGGGTCCACAAAAGGAGGAGGACTTGCATATATGCTAATTCTCTTCACACCATGTGAGACCATGTATAGGTACCCAAATTCGAATTTGAAATCTCGTTCAGCATCAGGCAAAAAAGGAATAACTTAAATAGCTAAATATCTTTAAAAAAAAATGAATAACTTAAATGCTTAAGTTAGACATAGGAAGGAAGCCTGTAGAACAAAGTTAAGATGAAGAACGAATACAATCCAATGCTTAAGTGATCCAATTTTGAGAAGGTCAATGGGAAGGGGCAGTTATACGTGCCATGCTCTTTGTTTCTCCTATCCTTGCATTGTCGACCAAAACAACATCAAACCAAGTGCAATACAATCCAATGTAGTGCTCACAAAATTTGAGCTCGAATTCCTTCGAACTAAAAACTGAAGGTCTATCAAATGGGTAGATTTTTGTTCATAGTCTCTTTATTTGCTTCTAAGTCAGCCTGTGTACAACCATTGGATCTAGTTTCCATGCTAATCAATGCGGTGCTGGGTCTACCTCCCCCACCGATATGGGCAAGAAAGATTTTCCTTGAATTTATGCCCATTTTCAACGTTGTAGTAGCCATAAACAACATGCTGGCTGACCTGAAGTGAACTGGCCATCATATTGGATGTTTCATTTTTTAGAGCCAATTAGCATCCGAAGTAGAAGTTTTGCTCATTCTGATCTTGGCACATAAAGGAAACCAAAAAAATAAATTAGACTGTAGCATCTTGTTTGTGTAGTATCAGAACAATACTATAACATAGGTTTCTCACTGATCCGATTCCATGTAACTTCTGGTTCTTGGTCCTTATGTGAATGAAATTGACTTGCCGAAACAATATTGTTTTTGTTTGTCTCATAGCATTGAACGATGCACTGAAAGAAGAAATTCAGCATCTGAAAGTTATGACTGGCCAAGCTATGCCAAATGGTGGACCTATGATGAACTACGCTTCTTTTGGCGGGGCGGGTCAGCAGCAGTTCTGTCCAAACAATCAAGCAATGCACACTTTTCTAACTGCACAGCAGTTTCAACAGCTCCAGATTCATTCTCAGAAGCAGCAGCACCAGTTTCAGCAGCATCAGCTCCATCAACTTCAGCAGCAACAGATGCAGCAGCATCATCAGCATCCGCAACAGCAACAGCAGCAGCAACAACAAAGTGGGGAGTTGAAAATAGGAGGATCCGTGCCTTCGCCAAGCCAGAAAGATAATACATCAGAGGTCAACCAATCTGTAACGAAGGATTGAAATGTTATCGGGTCTGCCAAAAATTAATGACGGATGAGGCTTTGTTCAAAAATTGTAGTTGCACAGCCGCCTCCAGTTAGGGTACTTACCCTCCCTTCCCTTCCTCCCCCTTCTCCTCCTCCTCCTCCTCCCCCTTCTGTTTTTTAGTCTGGTTAGATACACCTAGATGACACCTTTGTTTGTAGCCTGTTCTGTAAATATCGTTTTAGTTGTAGATCGAATGATGGGGTTAATTTTCGGTCGAGTACCGTATGGTTGTAGCACCTTGTGATTTGCGTTTTGTTCCTGGTAATTATGGTGGATTTAGATTATGAAGATTTGTTATCTGAAAATTAAATGTGTTTTTGGGATTAGTCTCAGGGCTGGTTTGGTATTACTCTGCTTTGAAAAAAGGTTCTTCTGCTTTGCTATGAGAAAAAACTGTTTCTGCTGTGCTATGAGAATAAGCTACTTCTGCTGTGCTATGAGAATAAGCTGCTGTGAAATAAAACAGCAGAATGTTTGATAAATTTTTTTTGTAAAAGTTCTTTTGGAAAAGAAAACAAGCAATATGATAGTGTTTGGTAAACTTTTATATAAAAGAGCTGTGATTGTGTGAAATGACAAAAAAATATATAAAATGAGTATAATGTTAAATGTAAAATAATAAACCAACTCTATCTTTCTTTTATCCATCTTCATTTATTAATAATCCATGTCTTTTATTTATTAATAGTCTCTCTACAAGTCTCCTATTTTTCTTTTATCTATCTTCATTTGTTAAGTGGCATCAAAATCCATTTTAACTCTAAACCCTTCTTCCTCCCACTCACCTTCCTTCCTAATTCCTGTCTGTAATCCTCGACAACAGAAAACACTCCTCTCTGTAGTCCCTCCCTTTCTCCGTCTCTCTTCGCCGGCGCCCAGTGGCCATAGTTTCAGTCCGGACCTTCGGAGAACCAGAGGTATTTAGCTTTTAACCCAAATTGCCCATGATTTCTTTTCGACTTTTCCAAAATCGATAAAGTTTCAGGCTTGTAGTGGCTCAAATTGTTTATTTTTCTGGAATTGTGTTTAATCAAATTATAGAATTGATGGCGGTGAAATCTTAAAGCTGATATTTATTCAATTTTTGGCTTTTGGGTTTTGATGTTTGTATCCAATGTCTTAGAAAGTTAAGGCTAGTTTAGCGCGCGGATCGGCAAAGGAAAACCGTTTCTGGTTTTGGCTGTGGTAGTCTGGTGGGTTTTTGGGTTTTTGTGTTTCCATTTCTTGTGCAGATCGGCAAAGTCGTTTCTAGTGGGTTTCTAGGTTTTGTGGAGACCGGCAAAGGAGCACCATTTCTGGTTTGAGGGTGTTATTGGACTTTAGAAAGTTTCATTAAAGGAGCACCGTAGCTCTGCGTGCTTTGAAAAAAAAGCCAGTTTTCCAAAGCAGCATTTAGCTGCTTCAGCTTTTCTGATGATTTCAGCTTATTCTCATAGCATTGTCCAAAAATAATCCCTTTTTATTTAGTTTACCAAACACCTTCAACATAAAAACTTTGAAAATAAGCAGCTTTTTTTTAGGGAGTTTTAACGAAAAGCCTGCAGTACTGTTCACTTTAACGAAAAACCACATTTTTACACTAAAAAGTCAAACCTAGTATTATTCACTTTACCCTTTATTTTGTCCTTATCGTTAAAACTCAAAGTTTTCAAGACATTTTCATTATTTTTCCTTTTGTTTTTTAAGCACCTCAATGCCAAACCGTACTTCGTCTGTCAACTTTTATTCTTGATGATTTAGCACCACTCACTAAATTGTTTGCTGGTCACGTCAACTCCGTGCAGCATATATTCCTTATAATCCCGAAACGATATTGCCTTCCACTCAATTACGATGCAATCGAGAGTGATCAAAACCCCCACACAATATAGCATCATGATTTCACCTGACGTCAAATGGACTTTGTCAAAGAAACGCATAATCGTTTTTTGCGCCCAAGATTGGATTGTATTGGTTAGCATCCGATGTAGAAGTTTTGCTCAAATTAGACTGTAGCATCTTGTTTGTGTAGTATCAGTACAATACTATAATTTAGGTTTTCTTGCTGATCGGATTCCGTGTAACTTCTGGTTCTTGATCCTTATGTGAATGAAATTGTGCCGAAACATTATTGTTTTTGTTTGTCTCGTAGCATTGAACAATGCACTGAAAGAAGAAATTCAGCATCTGAAAGTTATGACTGGCCAAGCTATGCCAAATGGTGGACCTATGATGAACTACGCTTCTTTTGGCGCGGCGGGTCAGCAGCAGTTCTATCCAAACAATCAAGCAATGCACACTCTTCTAACTGCACAGCAGTTTCAACAGCTCCAGATTCATTCTCAGAAGCAGCAGCACCAGTTTCAGCAGCATCAGCTCCATCAACTCCAGCAGCAACAGATGCAGCAGCATCATCAGCAACAGCAACAGCAGCAGCAACAACAAAGTGGGGAGTTGAAAATAGGAGAATCCGTGCCTCCGCCAAGCCAGAAATGTAAAGATATGAACATGAGTATACGGTGAACAAGTGTCAGTTGTTTGGTCCAATTAGTATAAGAAAGCCTTATAGGAAGATGAATGTGAGTTCTTGTTGATAGAGGAATCTGTCATGGAGAAGAACCAACATACACTGGGAAACATGAGTTGTTTCCTAATCGGATTGTAATAGGAAATCCTCATTGGTTTAGGAGAAGTATATGTATTTATATATATGCTGTGATCTCTGCTCTCATAGACACGCTCAGAAAAGAACTAAGTCCTATTCTTAGTTAGAGCATTAAGAGTTCTACCAGAGAGGAGAAGAGTTGCAGCATACAGAATTGGACAGCTGCTGCAATGGCATATTCGAATGGAGGTTCATCAGGTTAGTGTGAATACATCAGTTCATATTCAAAAGATTTTATGCTTTCTTGATTGTGTTTTATGTAGCTTAAATCTTGATCTTGGCTAATTGCATCTAACATGTGGTATCAGAGCTTAGATTTAAGTTCTTAAAATCAATCAAACACGGGTCAATGAAAATCGCCATTATCGGGTTTCGAAACCGGTTCTAAATATCAAAACAATTTTTCCTAAACGGTGCGTTTTTGATAAAATCAGGTCAGATTAATATGACTGTTGATATTCGAAATCGGCGCGGTTTTTCTTTTGGGGTTTTTCTGGGTTTTGTTCTTCTGCAAAAGAGGACTTTAACTCGTCCCTCTTATTTTGACCCGTTCACTTGCAATCCGAGTAATCCAAATCTTGTTATTGAGTGTTCAATACCTGTCCAAAATTGTTTCCGCTGCTAGGTATTGATGGTTGTCTCTTTAAAAGGTATGTGATCTTCAAAACTCAGATTAGAAAAATGAATATCATGAATCTTGCATAGAGATTTGTATAATGATTTTTTATGAACATGAGAGCAGTCATTCTTAGCATATGATTTAGTTTCTTAAAATGATTGTATCTGGTTAAATTTATGCAAATTTATTGTCACTATTAAGATCATAAACTGAGATGTATAGAACAAATCAGTGTGATGGTTGATTCTGATATACCGTGATCAGTTCATGAACTATTCTGAAATCAATAATCCTATATGCGCCTATCAACTGGTTGTTGTTAAGATTGTATATATGGATATTGGTTATAAAGCTTTGATGTGCAATAGACTGTGAAACGAAATCAGAACTTTGAATGTTCATATGGTGATTTCAGGTTCATCGATGTCTGCAATATCAATGAAGACCTTAAATTTAGCAAATATTCCGATCCTTACTGGTGGTAGCAATTACAAGAAGTGGAGGAGGGATATCAACTTGCTATTGACTCTAAATGAGTTTGATATAGCAATTGAAAATCCCAAGCCTGTAATTAGTGATCAAAGCACCAGAGCTGAGAAGTCAGATTTTGAGAGGTGGTCAAGAGCTAATAAGGTAGCACTTTCCATCATAGAAGCTGGAATGACTGACACTATCAGGGGAGGAATTAAGAAACCAGAGCTTGCTGTGGATTATTTGGCTGCAATCGAAAAGAAATTCAAGGAGTCCGAGAAGGCAGAAGTAAGCCAGTATATGTCTGTGTTGACTCAATACAAGATTGAAGATACTGGTTCAATAAGGGATCATATAATGAAAATGTCAGATGCTGCCGAGAAGCTAAACTCCATGGAAATAAACATTGGAGAGAAGCAGCTTGTGTTCATGATTTTTCAAGCCCTCCCTACCAAGTATAGTCAGTTAAAAGTCTCTTACAACACTCAGGACAAGAACTGGGGCATAGATGAATTGATTGCACAATGTGTGCAAGAGGAAACTCGGCAAAAGCAAGAGAAAGGCAAGGAGATCGAAGAAGCAAATTATGTACAACCTGGACGAGAGAAGAGAGCATTCAATAAAGGCAGCTCTTCAGGTCCTGGTAAGAATTCTAAATTCACTAAGAATTCTAACAAATTCAATATAGCTGCTAAAGTAAATGACTCCCCTAGAAAATCTATCAAATTTAAAGCTAAACCTAAAGATGTGTCTAAACTTAAGTGTTTTTGGTGCAAGACTAAAGGGCATTTAAAAGTTGATTGTGAAATTTTTAAAGATTTTGTGAAGAGCAAAGAAAAGGAACAAGTACTTGTCTGTGTTGAGTCAAATCTTTGTGAAGTACCTGTTGATTCTTGGTGGTTTGACACTGGATGCTCGGTTCACATAACTAATTCTTTGAAAGGTTTTCAAAAACAAAAGGAGATTGGAAATACTATGTATCATGTCTATGTGGGGGAAGGGACTAAGGTTGCAGTGCATTCCATTGGAGTAGTAAACTTAAAACTAAATTCTGGTTTTGTGTTACAACTAAAAGATGTGCTCTATGTGCCTAAAATGAGAAGAAACTTGCTCTCTGCTTCTAAAATAATAAAAGATGGTTATGCATTCTTTGCTGATGATGTATGTTTGAAAATTTTTAAGAAAAACAGTTTTCATAAAATTTTGGGCATTGCCCTCTTGTCTGAAAATCTCTGGAGACTAGAGTGTATAGTTGAGTTTGTTGATCAGTCCGTTTTTAATGTCAATTCAAAAAGAATGTTAGAACATGATTCATCTTATATTCTTTGGCATAAGAGGTTAGGGCACATCTCTAAAGAAAGGATTCTTCAACTTTGCAAAGCCGAACTAATTCCCAAACTAGATTCTGCCACTGTGACAGAATGTGTTGATTGTTTGAAAGGAAAAATGACCAACTTTAGAAAACTAGATGCCAAAAGAAGCAAAGGGTTACTTGAAATCATACACACTGACATCTGTGGTCCTTTTCCAGTCAAAACAATATGTGGAAACAAGTATTTTGTTAACTTTATTGATGACTTCTCTAGACTGGGATATACTTTTCTGATTAAAGAAAAATCTGATGCCCTTAAATGCTTTATTGTTTACAAAACTGAGGTTGAAAAACAGTTAGGTAAAGTTATTAAAATTGTTAGATCGGATAGGGGAGGAGAATACTTTGGCAGGTACACTGAATCAGGACAGCAAAAGGGACCATTTGCACTATATTTAGAGCAAAACGGCATTGTAGCTCAGTATACAACACCGGGGACACCTCAACAAAATGGAGTCTCGGAACGAAGGAATCGAACTCTTATAGGTATGGTGAGAAGTATGATGTCAAGATCCAAATTGCCTGGTTTCTTGTGGGGAGAAGCCTTGAAGACAGCAAATCATATTTTGAACAGAGTACCGAGCAAATCTGTTATCTCAACACCTTTTGAGTTATGGCATGGCAGAACACCTAATTTTGAATACTTTCACGTTTGGGGTTGCAAATCAGAAGCAAGGTTCTATAATCCTAATGAAAGAAAATTAGATTCAAGGACTCAATCTTGTTACTTCATTGGGTATCCTGAAAAGTCAAAGGGCTACAGATTCTATATTCCTCAACATCACACTCGGATCCAAGAAACACATAATGCAGTATTCTTAGAGGATCAAGATGTTACAGATCTGTCGCGGGAAAATTTCATTTTTGAAGAAATGGATCAGCTACATGACATCCTACTAGGACTTTTTGGTACTTTACGTTGACGACATTCTTCTAGCAAGTTCTTGTCCACAGTTATTACAAAGAACTAAAAGGATGCTCAGTGAAAGTTTTGACATGAAGGATCTAGGAGAGGCACACTATGTGTTGGGGATTGAGATTGTACGCAATAGACAGAAACGACTACTTGGCTTATCGTAAAAGGGTTACATTGATAGAGTATTACACCGGTTCAATATGGAGAATTGTAGTTGTGGACAAGTTCCAGTTAATAAAGGGGATAAGTTCTCCAAGAGTCAGTGTCCGAGGACTGACTTGGAGACAGAGAAAATGCAGGGTAAGCCTTATGCTTCTCTGGTGGGAAGTCTCATGTATGCAACTATATGTACACGGCCTGACCTTGCTTTTATAACTGGAATGTTGGGAAGGTTTCAATCAAATCCAGGTGAAGCACATTGGATATCTGCCAAAAAGGTTCTAAGATATTTACAAAGAACCAAGAATTTCATGTTGGTTTATGGAAATGGCGAATCTTTGGAACTTGAAGGATATACTGACTCTGATTTGGCTGGTGATATAGATGATAGAAAATCGACCGGTGGCTATATCTTCATGTTAAATGGTGGTGCAGTTTCTTGGAAGAGTGCTAAGCAAACCGTGATAGCCACATCCACTATGGAGGCTGAGTTCGTAGCTTGTTTTGAAGGGATGAAACAAGCTGTGTGGTTGAAGAATTTTCTGACTGATTTAAAAATTGTAAAATCGATTCAGAAACCAGTAAGGATGTTTTGTGATAACAATTCTGCTGTGTTCTTTGCCAAGAATAATAGAAGAACTTCTGCCTCAAGGTTAATGGATGTAAAATTTCTTAAAGTAAGAGAGGAAGTGAAGAAGGGGATGATTGAAGTTCAGCACATCAGCACTGTTTTGATGGTGGCAGATCCTCTGACTAAAGCACTGCCTATTGGAGAGTTTCAGAAACATGTATCTCGGATGGGAGTGTTAGAAACTCTAGATCAGTGGGAGTAATTGATCTGTTTCAGAAAGTTTGAAGGTTGCTGCTATGTGAGTAATTCAATTTGGGACCTTGTTTACATTTTAGTCTGAGCTAGCTTACTTAGTTATGTTTAGTTAGTTTGTTTTATGTTTTAATAAGAGTCTTTGCTTCGAAACCTAAAGTTTCCGTTTTGGAGTATTGTGGTTTTGATAATAGACTTGTTGGATTCATATGGTACTTTGCAAGGACAATTTGTTTGTTTTAAAAGTTTATATGTTTCATGAATTTTATTCAGTTAATGAAATGCTGTTTTTCATTGAAGATTGATATAGATTGAGATCTTTTGAAAAGTGGGAGCATGTTCTGAATTAGTGTTGTTAATCATGTGTCATAATTGCAGATTGGATACATGTGAGTCTTGAATCGATGATTGTTTTGATAGTAATCTGAGATTCTTGGTTTCTGTATTTTGAAATGCAATGGGATGTTGGTCATGATGATAAAATCTTGAATAAGGCTGTGTGATCACTTCTTATAATTGGTAAAGACTGTGCTTGTTCATGTCTCATGTTCAAGTGGGAGAATGTAAAGATATGAACATGAGTATACGGTGAACAAGTGTCAGTTGTTTGGTCCAATTAGTATAAGAAAGCCTTATAGGAAGATGAATGTGAGTTCTTGTTGATAGAGGAATCTGTCATGGAGAAGAACCAACATACACTGGGAAACATGAGTTGTTTCCTAATCGGATTGTAATAGGAAATCCTCATTGGTTTAGGAGAAGTATATGTATTTATATATATGCTGTGATCTCTGCTCTCATAGACACGCTCAGAAAAGAACTAAGTCCTATTCTTAGTTAGAGCATTAAGAGTTCTACCAGAGAGGAGAAGAGTTGCAGCATACAGAATTGGACAGCTGCTGCAATGGCATATTCGAATGGAGGTTCATCATGTTAGTGTGAATACATCAGTTCATATTCAAAAGATTTTATGCTTTCTTGATTGTGTTTTATGTAGCTTAAATCTTGATCTTGGCTAATTGCATCTAACAAGAAAGATAATACATCAGAGGTCAACCAATCTGTAACGAAGGATTGAAATGTTATCGGGTCTGCCAAAAATTAAAGACGGATGTGAGGCATTGTTCAATAATTGTAGTTGCACAGCCGCCTCCAGTTAGGGTACTTACCCTCCCTTCCCTTCCTCCCCCTCCTCCTCCTCCCCCTTCTGTTTTTGAGTCTGGTTAGATACACCTAGATGACACCTTTGTTTGTAGCCTGTTCTGTACATATCGTTTTAGTTGTAGATCGAATGATGGGGTTAATTTTCTGTCGAGTACCGTATGGTTGTAGCACCTTGTGATTTGTGTTTTGTTACTGGTAATTATGGTGGATTTAGATTATGAAAATTTGTTATCTGAAAATTAAATGTGTTTTTGGGATTAGTCTCTCAGGGCTGGTTTGATATTGCTGTGCTTTAAAAAAAATTGTTTCTGCTGTGCTTTGAAAAACAACTGTTCTGTTGTGCTATGATAATAAGCTGTTTCTGCTGTGTTATGAGAATAAGTTGTTTCTGCTGTGCTATGAGAATAAGCTGCTGTGAAATAAAGTAGCAGAGTGTTTGGTAAATTTTTTTTTGTAAAAGTTCTTTTGGAAAAAAAAAAGCAGTATGGTAGTGTTTGGTAAACTTTTATATAAAACAGTTGTGACTGTGTGAAATGACAAAAAAACTATAAAATGAGTATAATGTTAAATGTAAAATAATAAACCAGCCCTATCTTCCTTTTATCCATCTTCATTTATTAATAATCCATGTCTTTTATTTATTAATAGTCTCTCTAGAAGTCTCCTATTTTTTTTGAGTAATGCTATTCATACCATGTTTTTATACCACATTTCTATACCACCTTAGGTGGCATATGATGTGGACAGCCATATCATTTGAATTAATCAGATTTTTAAATTTAGTTTATTATTTAATAAATCAATAATTAAGAAAACACCTTTGTTAAGTGGCATCAAAACCCATTTTAACTCTAAACCCTTCTTCCTCCCACCACCTTCCTTCCTAATTCCTGTCTGTAATCCTCGACAACAGAAAACACTCCTCTCTGTAGTCCCTCCCTTTCTCCGTCTCTCTTCACCGACGCCCAATGGCCATAGTTTCAGTCCGGACCTTCGGAGAACCAGAGGTATTTAGTTTTTAACCCAAATTGCCCACGATTTCTTTTCGACTTTCCAAAATCGATAAAGTTTCAAGCTTTTAGTGGCTCAGATTGTTTATTTTTCTGGAATTGTGTTTAATCAAATTATAGAATTGATGGCGGTGAAATCTTAAAGCTGATATTTATTCAATTTTTGGCTTTTGGGTTTTGATGTTTGTATCCAATGTCCTAGAAAGTTAAGGCTAGTTTAGCACACAGATCGGCAAAGGAAAATCGTTTCTGGTTTTGGCTATGGTAGTCTGGTGGGTTTCTGGGTGTGTTTCCATTTCTTGTGCAGATCAGCAAAGTTGTTTCTGGTGGGTTTCTGGGTTTTGTGGAGATCGGCAAAGGAGCACCATTTCTGGTTTGAGGATGTTATTGAACTTTAAAAGCACTGTAGCTCCACGCGCTTTGAAAAAAAATCAGTTTTCCAATGCAGCATTTAGCTGCTTCAGCCTTTTTGAAGATTTTAGCTTATTCTCACAACAACTTCTAAAATAATTTTTTTTTTATAGTTTACCAAACACCTTCAACGTAAAAACTTTGAAAATAAGCAGCTTTTTTTTTAAGCAACTCAATGCCAAACTATACTTAAGTCTGTTAACTTTTATTCTTGATGATTTAGCACCACTCACTAAATTGCTTGCTTGTCACGTCAACTCCTTGCAGCATATATTCCTTATAATCCCAAAACGATATTGCCTGCCACTCAATTACGATGCAATTGAGAGTGATAAAAAACCCCCACACAATATAGCATCATGATTTCACCTGACGTCAAATGGACTTTGTCAATGAAACGCATAATCGTTTTTGTACTCAAGATTGGATTGTATTGGATAATTTTTAAATTTTAATTGCAGAAATATAGGATAATTTTAAATTTCGTAAATATTAAGGGTAAAAGATGAATTAGCCGTGAAAAAGAATATTTATAAGACTGCAAATCTTCGATTGTAGGCACCAAACTTGAGGAAGGATGGTGATGGTAGACGTAGAAAAAAAATATATAAGAAAAGGTGAAGAAATTGAAAACTGAAACAAAAAATAAAAAACTATTTTTAAGTTCTTTACAAAATCTTGAATTTGTTTTTATTCATTCTTTTTTTTTATATATATCTCTTCCCACCGTTGCTCTCACCACCCTTTTTCATCAATACACATTTTATTTCTTAAGCACGAAAAGTAAAAGTTTATAACTAAAACCTAAAACAAAATAATTACTAAATGAGCCTTGCTTTAAAATAATTATCAAACGAGTTGTATTCTATTCCCGGTGCAACTTACCAACTCCTGAGCAAGCGTAAAATAGTTACTGTAAATATTGGCTTTAGTTTGCATGAAGAAAAAAAATGAATTGAAAATGGCAAAAAGCTTGGTGGAGACTGGAGAGAGATGGGTAGGGGCAAGATCGGAAACCAAAATACACGAGTAAACGCTGAAACGCACACGCGACAGCCGGTACTCTCTCTCCATGCAAGATTTTAAAGTTGACGGTTATTTCTTGTTTCAATAATACAGTAAATCTAGTGAGTTATCGATTTTTCATCTTCTTAAGAGCTCAATATATATATACACACAATAAAATTAAAATTCACTAAAATTACAAATACATACCAGGTCTGCTAGGGGACAGACATAACAAAGCTCTCGATTCTGGAAGTACATATATAGAACTTTAATGGAAGAGCTTAATTGTTATACATAATAATAATATTGATGTTATTAGTTGACAGCAGACCGCGATATATAAGATGTCCTATGTATGAACCACTTCACCATTTGCCTATGGGAAGCCTTTTACTGTGTAGAGCATCGATGTCGAATTAATATCCACCTGATAGTCTATGGCTGGTTCTTTACCTCCACGTGGTTGAGGAGGAGGAGGAGGAGGATGAGGAGGAGGAGGAGGAGGAGGAGGAGGAGAAGACGGCTGAGAGCTCTCCGATCCCATGTCTCTGAATTACTTGGTAAAGACAACCAAATGCAAATATTAATGTTACTAAAAAAAGAATGATGCGTGGGGAGCCTTACTGGCTCTTGTTTTTTTTCTCTTCTTTTCTCTTGGAGAAGATGGGTGGTGACTAAGCAGTAGGGCTTCCCATTTTATAGCAACAACTCGCACAAGCTTCCATCCTTTACGGGTCCACAAGAGGAGGACTTGCATATATGCTCATTCTCTTCACACCATATGGGGCCATGTATAATAGGTATCAGAATTCGAATTTGAAATCTGGTTCAGGCAAAAAAAGAATGACTTAAATAGCTAAATTGTGAAATATATTGCAGAAATATACCAATTATTTATATGATCAAATATATCAAATCAAATGTATAATCATTATCAAACTTATGAAAATTAAATTAGGAATAAGGAATAAGAAAATCTGGCCTGTGAACCAAAGAGAGCCGGATGTCGTTGCCCTAAAGCCGTAGACGCCTCATTACGTGCAGGTTATGGCGATGCCTACAACTTCAAGATACAACCCAAAGCCTCACAGGATGTCTGATCCGATATGCACGTCAACGGCAGACGCTGATCCGATATGCACGTCAACGGCAAACGAGATTGCCAAGTAGTGATCAATTGCCCAAGAATTATGAAGTAGAAATGTACATAGACTGAGAGAGATGTGAGAATTGAGGAAGACAGAAAAGTTTAGCGTATTATGTTTTCTGTCTGAGGTTTCTTATTTAAAGAACTTCTCATACCCTTTTAAAAGGAATATGACACTTCAAATAAAACACAACTCTTAAATATTATAAATAAATAAAATAAAATAATAATAAATTTTGAATCTTTAAAAATAAAATATTATTAAAATAATTAAAATAACCAACATAAATATCTTTAAAAAAAATGAATAACTTAAATGCTTAAGTTATCCATAGGAAGGAAGCCTGCAGAACAAAGTTAACATGAAGAATGAATACAATCCAATGCTTAAGTGATCCAAATTTGAGAAGGTCAATGGGAAGGGGCAGTTATATGTGCCCTCCTCTTTGTTTCTCCAATCTTTGCATTGTCGACCAAAATAACATCTAACCAAGTGCCATACAATCCAATGTAGTGCTCACAAAATTTGAGCTCGAATTCCTTCAAACTAAAAGCTAAAGGTCATGGGTTCGAAACTTGCTGCTAGTGTGGAAGCCAGACTTGTGGCCATGGGAGGCTGAAATGCTTCTGTGAGTCTTCCTTGCTTCTGGAAGGGATGCATGATTGTGACTTGCCACTAGTTATCCCCCTTATTGCAAATCGAGAAACAATTAAATCATCATCATGAATGGCAATGTAACATGAACACCATCAATTGGAAAAGACAGTGACAGGGCAATAAACATACAGAAAGATAATACATCACCAGCATCCGCAACAGCAACAGCAGCAGCAACAACAAAGTGGGGAGTTGAAAGTAGGAGGATCCGTGCCTTCGCCAAGCCAGAAAGATAAATACATCAGAGGTCAACCAATCTGTAACGAAGGATTGAAATGTTATCGGGTCTGCCAAAAATTAAAGACGGATGAAGCATTGTTCAAAAATTGTAATTGCACAGTCGCCTCTAGTTAGGACTTACCCTCCCTTCCCTTCCTCCCCCTCCTCCTCCTCCCCCTTCTGTTTTTGAGTCTGGTTTTAGATACACCTAGATGACACCTTTGTTTGTAGCCTGTTCTATACATATCGTTTTAGTTGTAGATCGATCGGTCGAGTACCGTATAGTTGTAGCACTATAGAATATCAGAGTTCTTGAGGAAGAGAGAGAAAGAGTATTTCTTAGAGATTAAGAAAACTGTTATTTTTCACACTCATCAGTAGAATAAACAGTTACATATATATAGCCTTTGGCTATTCACTCCTGACAAACTCACTCACTAATTACATGTGTAACAAACTTATATTAAACTAATAAAATCAATTCTAGTTATAATGTGACATCTTCATCTTTACACCCCCTCAAGCCAAACTTGGAACGAGAAAGAGTACCAAGAGAGAGCTTGGACTGCAGAAACTGAAACCGAGATTTAGATAAGGATTTGGTGTGAATGTCTGCAATTTGGTCTTGACTACACACATACTGCACTTTGACTAAATTGGCAAGAACCAATTCCCGAATGTAATGGTAATCGATCTCCACATGTTTGGTGCGAGCATGGAAGATAGGATTAGAGGCAAGAGATATAGCAGAGATGTTATCACACCAGAGAG